AAAAAAATAAAATACAGGGATAGCCATTATTTAATTTACCAATTTTGTTGAAACGCAAACTTTTTGTATTTGAAAAAAATAATACTTTTAAATATATAGTATGAATGACATTTTGAAATTTTAAATAGTATAAAATTACAGCATTTCATAAATCTCAACCCATGTTTAAATTTAAAATTGATCGGAAATGACACGAGAATAATTTTCTTTGTTATTGTTATACTCATCAATTAATTCATTGGAGCTACCAGTAAAGTTGGTAGGCAAATTTATTAGCCGAAAGCCAACACGCCAAATTTAGAATTCAATTAACATATTTGGAAATAATAAAGCATGCTTTTGTATAAATAAACATTTTTTTCATTTTTCACGCGGTTATTTTTTTTTATTTTTTTCACGCGGTTATCCTTTTTTTTCCTTTATAAAGAAACAAAAAAGCGGACAAGTTTTTGAGCACATCTTTCTCATAGTACCTCATACATAATAATGTTCTTTTCTTTTTCGTAGCCCTTTCACAAAAAAAAAATTTATCATAATGAACCGCGCCCACCTTGAATAAACTGTCACGGCTTTTATCTTTCTTTCAGCGAGAGACTATCTTCTAAAAACTTTACTCTTGCCGTAGCTGATATCCGGATCTCAAAACTTAACCTGCTGGTAAGCTCTTTATTCTTTTTCTTTAATGTAGTGCCCTATCATTATCGAGAATAGTTTCCTCTCGTTATTTCGTGAAACATGGACGAATATTCTCCATTACAAAAAATATTTTTTCCTTGATATTTACTCCTAAGCGTCGCCGATATTTCGATCTATCGCATCTATTACCTTCTACGTGACTATCTTTACTTAGATTCCATAATTAATTCCCTTTTCCACTTCTTTTTCTAGAATTTTTTTTTTAAAACGATGAAGATATCTGGAAATAACTTTTATTTCGTGTTCCGATTTCTAACTCTTCCTTCCTTTTTCTCCCGATAAAAACAACTCATATTGACAAGACTAAAAATTCAAAAAAAAATGTGCTGTACCTTATTAATGTTAATATTCTTAATTTTATTAGTCAACAACGAAGAAGTGGAAGCGGCAAA